GGGGGGAAGCAAAGTAATGTTTCGGGCAGACTTGCAGCATGAGTCACTGAAACAATCTTTTGGGTACCAGCACCTTGTCCGCTCTCAGCCTGGCAATCACCCTCCAGGACACATCTATGGGATAGGTCCTGGGTGAACAGCAGCTCCTCAACCCATACAGCTGGCTCGGTGGGTCCTTGCTTCAGCCCATCAAGGTGCCCAAGACAGAGGCTGTCACACTTGCAGAAATCTCTTTAAGGCTGATTTAAATTTCAAGCTGTGCTTTGTGCTTGCAGTGACTGCGGGCTCAGAAGGACAGCAAGAAAAGCGGCTGAAATGGTACTGATCCCAGTTCCTGGCAAGTGTGAGCACCTTCTCCAGCTATATTCAATTTGTAGAAGTCTAATGGAGGCTGTGGAGTGTTTTGAAAAGCAAAGGCAGACCTTAGGGCAGAGCTGTCCTCCGCAGGACAGGCTGTTTTCCCTGCTAAGCCAGGAAGTTTGGTTTTGGAGAATTTACTTTTAGTAACTCTTGAAAGATGCCAAACCGCAGAAGACAAATTTGAGTTACGCCTCAGCCTCTGCCCTGCTGCAGGAAAATGAACATAAGAGCAAATGTCTACTGTTCCTCTGACAGAGGAAAATCACTTGCTGAAAGGTGCTGCTGCTGTATATAGAGTCCCCCAGGAAATTAGTCAACAAAATCCATAAATGACTTGAGGAAGAGGACAAGACTGTGACCTCCCAAAGGCACTACAGAACAAGGTGGACCTCACAGAAGAGCTTCCCAGGAGGGGTTGTATCACAGAACTGAAGCTACAACATGTATTGCTTTCGTTATCTTCTAGGGATGGAGGAGGAAACAGACTGCATCGCCCACAGCATTTCACACTGAATGAATGCATAAACCTTTCCTCCTCGCTCCATATTCCCAAGGTGAAGTTTATCCTACTGGGACCTCATTTGCCCCTCTGCATTGCTTTAGCTTGCTAAATATGGTGCAGTTATTTCTCTGGTATATTGGGTATTTTCTCCTGGGAGCCCAGAATAAAGCCAGGTACTCCGAGATGTACCAATACAAATTGCCAAGAAATTGTCCCCAAATTTTTTCACTCCTTTAATAGTTTCAGCTTCTTTCAGGCTACAGGTGGCAAAGTTACTGTACTGGTATGTATTTTCTTATTTCTAGGGAAGAGGGGACACATTTTGTGTAGTGTCCTCAACTTAGCCCTTCTATGTACATGCTGCATGACGACACATGCCTCCTATAATGACCCTGTCTGGCTTGCCTGAAGAGTTGGCAAATTGGGCATCCAGGCTCATTATTTCTGAAAACTATTTAATTCCACTGAGTTTTGATGAGAAGATAAAACCATCTTCCAGTGCAAGTGTTTCCCTCCTTCAGCTGAACCTGTCTCTGGCTGCTGGAAGGCTGTTTTTCAATGTGATTTTAGCAGCTGCCCTCCTCATTTGGGCTGTGGGTTGGAGTCCAAGCTATCCTCTTGCAGATCAGCCCTCCCTCCCCCCCCCCGCTGTTTGCAGCCTTCTCTGGGTTTTTCCCAGTTCCCATTAGTGTCCCCAGTTTAACCACCTTTCTCCCAGAATTAGTGCCAAAAGACATAGAATGATGTCAGCAGGGGTAGGCTTGTGAAGAGCAAGTGTGAAGGGTTTGGCCAGTTCTGCTGTGATGGGGCAGGGGCCAGGTTTTGTCAACCAGGAGCTCGCAGCTGCTCTTGAGTGCTGTAACCAGTCCAGCCCATCAGCCCCACAGGTGCTACTGGAGTGTACGCTACTATTTTCATGCAGTTTAAATGTTTTGGCAAGCTGATGCTACAGAAGTGCCCTTCCCTGGGTCTGTGGAAGGGTAATCCTGTCTACACAGGGCCCTGCTGCGGGAGAGGGGATTCACAGCTCATGTCTGGATTAAATTTAAGGCAAAGCTCAATGTATCTTCATGGAACTGAGCTCAAATGAGGTGAGGTGTGAGCACACCTAGAAACCAATGAAGGAAAACTTCCCTTCAGAGCCTGCTATACCAGACCAAGGAGGGGAAAAAAAAACACACCAACCAAAAACCTGATAATCTTCATAGCTAGGATAGCACAATGAGAGAAAAGAAACGCGTCAGGTAAACAAGGGTAACAGAGTGTGATATCAGTGAGTAGGAGGAGAGATGGGAAAGTGCTGACAGAGGAGTGAGCAAGAGTCCTGAAGTGCTGTGTTTAATCATCCTCTGACATTTTCAGTAAGAAAGAACAAATGTTTGTGTACTATGGCAAGGAGCTCTGGCAGTGAAATTGTGTTACGTACACATTATGCAAGAAAATCACATTATGGGTATAGTGGATGTGGCAGAACATGAATCATTAGTGAACCAGATGACAAGTGAACATGGCTATCGAGGAAAGAAAGCTATAAAATGTGATGGATATTTTGTATAAATGCTGTAATACCCAAAAGAAATAAAGGATAAAAAACCTGATTGAGTTAATTGTGGGAGAAGAAGTACGCTAGAGGTTTGTCAGGGACCTAAGGACCAGGAGGCGGGTATCAATGCCCATCCTTACCGGGGATTTTAATTTCCTAGAAAGAGCCTGGGCCATTCTCGGTGGGAGCATTTGCTGTCCTGCAGGCAGCCTGGATGTGTGAAGTGATGAATGCCTTCATTAAGCACTTGCTGAACCAACAAGCAATCAGCCTACTCTCTAATTAGTGGAGGTGTCACAGAAGACCCAGCCATGGAAAGCAACCTTGATTGGATCAAACGAGATACTTCACCATAATTCAAACGGACACAGACAAGGAGACAGTGATGAAGATTCTTAATTACAAATGGGAAATCTTTATTTTAGAAATTAAATAGAAGGCACCTGGGAGCGAACGTCTGTCGCAGTGCGGGAGCTGGCACGGGAACCTGTATTTGGAACTGGGAAAAGAGAGTTTAGGAGGGGTTCAGGGCTGGGGTGGAGGGTGGCTATCTACAAATACAGGGTGCTGGGGGTGAAATAAATGCCTACAAATAAGGGGAAGATGAATCAGAAAAGAACAGCAACACCTGAGGAGAAGAACATTTGGGGAAGAGCTAGAAGTGCTAAACACCATGCTGAGTTAGATACCAAGCCCAAAAGCAAGGCTTTTCAGCCATGTAATTTAGAGAACACAAGGAGAAGTGGGGTGGGAACAGAAGTTTTAGGGAGAGCTCTATGTAGGGGCTGTAGCAAAACGCCCCAGAAGGCCACGATGGCAAACAGATGTAAGGGAGGAAGAGCCTGAAGTGAAATACCCAGAATTTAATGGAGCAAAGCTGAAAAAGGTTGGATAATCTTCACTTGAGATGAGGACTAGCACATGAAAGCGCAGGGCAGGTAGCAAGGCTTGTTAAGGCACCCGTCAGCTCAGGGAGTGACACACACAAAACTTCTCTGTTCAAGCAGGGCAGAGAGGATGGCAAGCGAAGGGCAGTGAGCTGAGCAACCGCGAGTCCATTCCTGTAGGTCTCTTGATCCATAGGGTACCAGGCTGTAGAGCAAATTTGGAGGCGGGGGAAATAGTTGAATACATCAAAGTCAATCAGGTAAACTGCGGCTGAGGCTGACCAAGGAGGACTGTGCCAAAGTCATCTGGCATCTTTGGAAACACTGAACTCTCTAGGCAAGGGAGAGGTAGCAGAGACCTCAGGTGAACTTCAGTAATGTTGTACTACCTTGCGGGAAGCCACAGTTAGGAAGGAACTGTGAAGCACATAAGGAATGAGGAAAAGAAGAGACAACTGATTATGTTAAAAGAGGTGGGAGAGGGGGTGGGAGGAGAAAACTACTGCAGCTCATCAAGGTTGAACCCAGAGAGCAATCTTAATGCTTTTGCTAGCAGACTTGGTGTAAAACCCAGGAATTCGCAGATTTGCACCGTCGGGAGCCTCCAGCCATGCGGAGGGACAGAGGGTAGGTGCTGTGTGCCACACAGAACTCCTCCCCCTGCAATCTCAGGAGCCAGTGGGGACACAGTTGTGCATCTCCGGAGAGGATGCTGACTGGCATGTATCTGATAATCGCTTTCCTGGCGCACAAGGAATGTCCTATCGTGCCCTCCTCCCACCTCTAAAAACGAGCATGGGGATGACTCACAGAGAGGCTTTCTCTGGATCTGGGATGGACCAGGTTGGCCTTTCTCACACGATCAGCTCTGCTTGTGGCAGAGCGGCCTCGGGCAACCCGGGAGCCGAGTGCTGTCCTCCCGCATTACATAACGCAGGATGTCACCGCTGCAGCCATTTCTTAAAGACTCACGCACCAGGGTATGACGTACCCAGTAACATGCAGCGAAACACAATTCCGGGGGGGGAGGGTGCGGGGGGAATGACACCACATGCTGCGTGTATTCTCAAGGTACGGTTAATGAAATACAGCTCTCAGCATCTCTGGGGCTGCTGGCAGCTGCTGCGTTATGAATACTGTCACAGCTGCAAAAAAAGTACAGCTCTTCCTAAGGGCTTAGGCTTTTCTTCTTCCTTTAAACCACTTGCACAGAAACGCTTTCTAGACCTGCTTCTCACTGCTAAGCTGAAAACGCAAGAGCTGAGCAACAAGATGCAATCTCCTGCCAAAAACGCCTCTGCACAGAACAGAGAGGCGAATGCTGCCTTGGCTGGGCAGGGGTACGAGGCAGGCACCGTGCCTGTGCTGCCAGGCACCCACAGAGACATCAGCCCTGCAGGACAGGCTCACCTGCTGAGCCAGCAACCTCTGAGGCTGAAGGCTCTTACAGTCTCCATAACATCACAGGCAGGACCAGCATTGCAGGCCCTCGATCCACCCGGGGGCTGTTCCACCAGGGTCACAGCCACACCAGCACATGCAGGGCCCAACTCCCCCCAGCACCCCTGGTACCTGCCGGGTCCCACCAGGAGGCCACGCAGGGTGGGCCGTGGGGGCTGCTGACCTGGGAATCATTGGGGGTGCGGAGAGGGCGCAGGGGGAGCCCGGGGGGTGGCGGCCCGGCGGCCTCACCCTTCTTGAACTCCTCCAGCAGCGTGTCGAGGCGCGTGTCGTTGAAGACGCAGTGGAGCGGGCGGCGGTAGAAGCGGGTGACAGTCTGCAGGGGGGTGCAGTCATCGGGGTCGACAAAGGCCAGGTCCTTGACGAAGAGCAGGTCGACAATGTTGTCGCGACGGTCTCCCTCGTAGACGGGGATGCGGGTGTAGCCGGAGCGGAGGATCTCAGAGACGGTGGCGAAGTCCAGCACGGCATCGGCACGGAGCATGAAGCAGTCGGCCAGCGGTGTCAGCACGTCCTCCACCACCTTGGTGCGCAGCTCCAGCGCGCCCTGCACCATGGCCAACTCCTCCCGCACCAGGTCGCCGTGGGGGCC